TACTTCTTGTGCGCAGAGGCTGCCTTCCTACAAGAAGGATTGAAAAATAGTTTAGGGATGGGGGTGTTGGGGTAGGGGTAGTGCACTTCCCTAGCATGTATGAGGACCTGAGTTCAATCTTCAGCACACACATAGAAAAAAATAAGAAGAAGAAGAAAGAAAGAAAGAAAACCCAGAAGGAAAGCACCCATTAATACACAAGGGGGCTATACTAATTAAGTAGGAACTGTGGGGGGTTATGGAACAGAGGAGGATGGGCAGGGTGGGATTTGAGCAAGAGCACATGTAACTTGAGATTTGCTTCCCTATCCAGCAACATCTACCTGCACCTCCATCCTTTCACTTGGAAAATATTGATAAACTGCATGAACCTCTAACACTTGTACAGAAACTGAATGAGTATTTGGTAAGGTGTGAAAAACTGTTCATAGGTAAAATGACTTTCTTTTTATTATGATCAATGCATGTAACAGGGAGCGGGGCTCTCTTGAGTGCTCTGCAAAAGGAAGGAGGGGAATTGGCAAGGGGCATCTCCTGCCCTCCTGTGTGTCTATGCATATGTGCATGCAAACATGTGCATATTTATATGAGCATATGTGCGTGAGTGTGAGTGAGGGAATCGGGGGCCATGAGAGTCTGTCTTTTGTTTGTGTCTTCTAAATTGAGGATATGGTCAGGACAGGCTATTCATGACCAGAACTTGATGGATTGGTGAGCAGGTTGAGCAGCAGTACCAGAAAATGCCCTGGAAATGCAAATGAATCTCCATCATCTCACTTACAGATTGGATATTTCCAGATAAACACTTTCTTGGCTGTTCTCTTTGTACGGGCAAAAATATGGTGTACTTTTCAACCTCTGTCTCCCTTCATGATGTTGGAGGCAGTTGGCAGACAGCAGCCTTAACTTGAGTGTTGAACTCAGATTTCTAAATAACAGCTCCAAACATTTATTGAGCACCTGCTGTGTACCCTGCATTATGCCAGACTCTCACATTATATGTGTCATACTAGCTAATCATCCTTCCTTTCTTTTCTTTTTTAATGTTTTCTTTACCGAAGTCCTGGTAGGTTATAATTTATAGCTGTGAATAGTAAATTTCTAGAAATTCAAAGATCAGATGTGTAGAGGAATTGTTTTTATCAGCAACTGAATAGTTCTTTGTGAATAACCAAACACCTTCATCCAGCCCTTGGAGGATCCACCTAAAACCTGAGAGAATATTGGGGTGCTCCCATCTCACAGAGAAGGTTGGGGCTCCAGTTGGCTGGTGGGAGTGCTGATCGAGTGCTCAGGTGCTCTGCATTCATAGCCCTCATAGCAGAAATCTCCAGGTATGCAAGTAATTATTCCCTGCTAAAAGTTTGCCTCCAGAAACCAGGAAGATCACAGGGACAGGGAAAGAGCCCAGTCAAGGCTAGAAAAGAGGTGAGTGAGAAGTCCTGCCCACCCACTTTTGTACTCCATGAATGCAGAGAAAGTGTGGGAGAAGACCCTCTTCAAGAAAATCCAGCACCCCTCACCCTGCACTCTCCTCCATGTGGGTAAACCAACCTGTGAGCAACCCACAGGGAGACCACACTGAAGTTTTGGGCTTATGGATTTCTACTAGGGACTTCTCTGTGATCTGGCTTTGCTACAAAGAGCCCTTGGCGAAGGATGTGAACATGTAGGAGACAGCATCTTGCAGAAATGGGATGTTGGAGGTGTCTCTAGAGGAGCTGAGAGACACCTGCCAAGTAGAATAACAAAACTGAATGAGACCTTCACAATGGCCTCAGGCAAGAAGCTTATAAGGACTGATAAGCTTTGTCACATATAGGGGTTCCTTGAGACGCAGAGTGTGGTTAGGGGAGCCCCTTCCTGGGCTAATTGGAAAAGTCTCCACAATATTGGGGCCCCCCTATTATTCCACAAGCTTAGCCATGTACTCAGCTGTGTGCCTGATTCTACCCCAGTGGGTACCTCTAGGGCTTCTGAGGCTAAGGAGTTGGTCCTGGGGATGGGGAAACTGGCTTGTTCCTCCTCCCTGGAAGAAACCACCTCAGAATGACATTGTTCAACTACTGATTGGCTTTAGAGCCCATGTCCTTCTCATCCTCCTCATCCTCTTGTTGACTGGGGAGTTTTGAAATATATAAGAAGACAGGTTTCACACAAGAGGGAAAAGAAGTGTCCTGTTTGCAGGGAATGACCTCCTAGAGAAGATGGTCTGTGACAACAGTCAGCAGGACCTTTCTGACCAGTGAGCTTTCTCCCAAGAGAAACTGGAAACAGCTCCTCCTCTCTCTCTTTTCCTCATCTCACCTTCTACCCCCCCAATCCTCTCCCTAGCATTAAGGAAAGCGGGCATGGGCTTCACCACAGGAGTAGCTTATAAGGACTGTTAAGCTTTGTCACATATAGAGGTTCCTTGAGATGCAGAGTCACCCTTTAGAGTCAAATGATGATTTTTCTGGACTGGAGACATTTGGGACGGCCTGCTCACAGGTTCTGAGTCCTCTTGTCCTGTCCATTTCCTCCATCCTCTCTGCTGGGTATGAGAAACATGCCCAGCTCCAGACACAGGTGTTTAGAGACCACACTATAGGCAGAGGCAGGGACAGTGGATGACTCCTCTCGGCCCACACAGTGTGGAGCCAGCCCTTCCTGAAAGGCCTGCCAGCTCTGAAAGGCTATCTATCCCACAGAGTTGCTAGGTCCCAGCTATGCCCCTTGTTATACAGGAGACAGGTTTGTGCCATAAAACATATTTCTCAAGCATGATGTTTCCATGACCATGTTTTTGTTAGCTTTTGTTTTAGTGAGACTCTGTCTCAAAATTTAAAAATAAAAAGGTCTGGGGGCATGGCTCAGTGGTACAGAACTTGCCTAGGATGCTCAATGTCCTGGGTTCAATTCCCAGTTTCAACCCTCTACACACACACACACACACACACACACACACACACACGAACCAAAATATATATATATATATGTATATATATATATATGATTCCCAAAATCCTATATTAGTCAGCTTCAGCTTTGCTCAAAGAGACTGTCTTCAAAGCACATTGAGATCCCCTCACTGAGAGTCTATATTTCTGCTGTGTTCTCTCTGCATATACTACAGAAGTCTACGGAAGTCCTGGCCAGCAGGAAGCTTTGCCCAGTGTTCAAGTAGAAGTAATTAATGTTGCTGGTACTAACATTCCTGATTTCAGAATTGTTGACTTTTTTTTTTTTTTTTGGAAATGGGGATTGAACCCAGGAGTACTCAAAAACTGAGCCACATCCCCAGGCTTTTATATTTTATTTTGAGAAAGGTCTTGCTAAGGCCTCATTAAGTTGCTGAGGCCAGCTTTAAACACACAGTCCTGGGCTGGGGATGTGGCTCAAGCGGTAGCGTACTTGCCTGTCATGTGTGCGGCCCAGGTTCAATCCTCAGCACCACAAACAAACAAACATATTGTGTCTGCCGAAAACTAATAAATAAATAAATATTTTTTAAAAAACCACACAGTCCTCCTACCTCAGCATCCCAAATCACTGGGATTACAGGAATATGCCGCCTGGCCCAGTAGTTGACTGTCTTATTAACCGACTTGTTTTTACTGTTTTAGCTATGAGGTAATTAATTCTATTTTGATGAGGAACCTCCCCATCCTGCTAACAGCAAACTAAAGGTTCTGCCCAAGTTCCTGGGGTCCTCAGCTGGGATAGGTAAGATGTCCACAACTTGGGATCTGAGAGTCTTAGAGGCACCTACAGGTGGATTCAGCCTTCAGTTTCCCATGGAAAACACTTGAAGGAGAACTACCCTGGATATTTGGATAGAAGCACAGTGGTGAAAGTACAGCCAGAATGAGGGAGAGTTGACCAAGTCCCTGAAACAGAAGCCCTAGAGAAATGTCTTTTAGCTAAGACTGTGAAACCAGACAAAACACAGAGGGCCTAGTGGCAGCTTCAGAGGGAACATCTATCCATAGAGATGCAAGAGCGCACAAGCAAGATCCTGGGTAGGTGCCCAGACCTCTCATAAAGTCCTTTATAAGAAGTGCTGGGTGCGACTGACCTCACAGATCTTTTTCTTCCTCTCTCACAAAGCCAATCTACCATTACTATGGCTTAAATGTATTTTGGACTTGATCATCACAGTGGGTCTCCTTTCTGGTGAAGGCTCACCGAACACCTTGTGCATGATGGCCTCCCAGAAAGAGCAGAGCCTGGCCTTTTGGTCTTCTGGGCCCCACTCACAAAGTGAGGAACCCTGCCCACCCCCATCCGGACCACTAAAGTTGTCCCCAACAATTTTCAAAAATCCACCCAGCTGAAAACTCTTTCCTGAATTTGGGGGCCCCTGGTCAAAATTCAGGAGGGTCTGTGAATCTGGATGAGGAAAATAAACTTTATTTTCTCTAACCTGTAGCTGAAAGTGTTTTCTTCTGCTAAGCAGAATTAGCAGAACCAGTGTCCTGGGCCCCAAAGGAAACTACAAATGTTTTTGAGTCACATGACAAGCACAGACACTAATCCGCTAGTCACTATTTGGGGGGGGCGGGGGTAACCAGGGATTGAACTCAGGGGCACTCAACCACTGAACCACACCCCCAGCCCTATTTTGTATCTTATTTAGAGACAGGGTCTCACTGATTTGCTTAGCACCTTGATTTTGCTGAGGCTGGCTCTGAACTCCCAATCCTCCTGTCTCGGCCTCCCTGAGTGGCTGGGATTACAGGTGTGAGCCACCACGCTCAGCCGCCTCACTACTTTTAAATGGCATTAGCTGGATCTCATTTCAAAAGGTAGTGAAGCATGTAACCTTTATTTCTCAATTATCAATACTATTGGTTTCTTGTTTTACTTGGGATTCTATTCCCAAGGACCAACGGAGAGAAACGCAGAATGGAAGAACCTCGGGACTGTCCGCTGGGTCAAGCCCGGCGGGCATTCTCCCCTATTCGACCATTGCTGGCTAGCTCCTGGCAGTCCACAAGCTGCGGGATTGGCATCTGAAACGCAAGGGGGCGCTGCGGCGCTGAAACTCAAGCCCTGAGATGCCAGACTGTAGGGTTCCGCCCTCCAAGTGCTGAGCTTCCACGCTTCCGCTTATTTCGCCTGGGGCAGGTTCCGCGTTGGGACGTCAGCTGTATTTCGCCTCCAGGCTTGGTGCCCCAAGGTCTTAGGATGCATTATGCCAGGACCCCCCTTCCAGCGGAGTGCGCGAAGCTGGAGGCCAAAGGCCAGCGAAGTCTCAGGAGCGCACAAGTCGGGCTGGCGCCGTCGCTGCTGCTGCTGCTGCTGCTGCTGCTGTCTGAGCTGGTGCCAGAGTGCGCAGCAGGTGAGAGATCAAGATCGAGACAGTTGAGGGAGAGGAGGGGGGCTCAGGGCCGACCCCATGTTTTCCACCCGGGTTTGGGGTAATGAAGACTTGGAGAACCCATCCCCAATCCGAGGAGGCAAGCAGCCCTGGGCTGGACCCGGCTCCTGTTTGACGCCTCCCATTCTGGCTTCGCTAGCCCCGAACAGCCCTGCGGGTAGGGCCGCGGGAGGCCGAGGAGGAGCGTAGAACAGGTGCTGACGGTGACCCCACAGAAGTGGTGACCTAGCCCGGGGCGTAACTTCCGTAGGCCCCTCTCAGACAACGCAGCGAGGGCTTCCACGGGGCCGGGTGCTCCTGGAAGACCCTGGGGAAGCTTTGTTGGGAGGAAGGGAGCTTGGATGTGAGGGCAGCCCGCACCTTCCCTGCCACCCGCCTGAAGCAAGGGGCGGTCCAGAGTGGAGGGGCTTCCAGTGCCCCTGTCCGGAAATAGCCCTCTTTTGCTTTCCCTGGCGGGGCTGGAGAATGTGAAAGAACATCAGGGGGTTTTCTGACCTGGTCTGGAATTTCCATTCTTTCCTAGTTTCAGTTTTGTGTGCAGAGCTGGCCGATCCAGCGCGCAGGCATGACCGCTTCCTGAGTTCCCTACCGCACCACAAGGCATACCCACCTCAACTGCGCAGATACCACAGGCCCAAGAGAAGTCCTAGCTGGTGTCTTTTATGCCAGGATCTGTCCTAAGTACTTTACCTACAGGAAGCCATTTCTCTCTTGGAACATACAGTCATCCCTCGATATTTTGAGGAGCACGTGTCAGGATGCCCAATACCAAAATCCAAGGATGCTCAGGTCCCTTAAATAAAATAAGATAGTATTTGCGTATAACCTGACTTATACTTTAAATTATCTCCTGATTACCAATAACACCTAACATAATGATATCATGTTACGTAGTTATGCGTTATTGTTTAGAAATTGAAAATTTATGTATATACATATTTAGTATAGATGCGATTTTTTTTTTCCCATATAGTTTCCATCTGTGGTTCGTTGGTCAAATCCCAGGAAGCAGAACCCTTGGATTAGGAGGGCCGACTTGTCTCAGTTTGCAGATGACTAAAGAGAGACCCAGTGCAGACGCTAGGTGGCAGCACTAGTATATGGAGTCGGAGTTTCTACCCGTTTCTGAAAGGTGGAACTTTTCTCAGGGAACGTTTTCGCGTTTTCGCGTTCAATATGTAACGTGAAATACACAGGATTTCGAAGGAACCCAATTACGTTGCAATAAAGCTATTTAGTATTTTAGTTAATAAGATAATTTTTAATTAAAAAGGTAAAAGTGTGATAAGTAATGCATATTCCTCTAAGTAAACACATTAAATAATGCATTAAATTAGCAATTTCCACCATTTGGAAGCAGTGAGAGGGTGAAGCATATTTCTAGATGTATACAGTAACTGTTATTGATTCAAAAGCACTCTGGTTTCTACCCAAGACCAGTGCACAGGTTCTACTCATCCTACTGTGCTTTGTCTCCATTCATCATGAGAGGAAAGACTAAATTTTTACTAGAGGTTAGTGAAAACAAAAGGTTATCTTTTCCCATCCAAGCTGAGGCTCCAGAACTTAAGATTTCAAGTTAACAAAGCCCCAGAGATCCAGGATCCCTCTCTCTATGGTCCCTACCTGGGATGCACACTCAGGTGATGCCAGTCTGATTGGTCAGGACTAAGCTGTCCCAAATCAAGAAGGAGAAAAAGAGCAAAGATCTAAAACCAGCCTTGTATCGAAGTGTGGAAGGGAGATGGGAAGGAAGCGGCCAGGGTTCCCATTAGGGACTCAGATGCCAGATCAGAAAGACCAGGCTTTTTTCTTCAGGAGGTAGGGAGTGAGGAAGTAACATGGGGGAGATCCGCAGAGTGGACAGTCTCATTAAGGGAGCAGATATCATGAGTACAGCATCAGGGAAGTTCTGAGCCTCACTCTGTGACAAGTATTTGGCTATTATTCCCATGGTGAGATGGGGACACTAAGGCTCAGAGATTAACTGGCTCCCGAAGGCTGAACAATCACATAACTAATTAGGATATGGACTCTAGCAGACTGACTCAGGGCCCTAGCTTCATTCTTTAATTAGGAAATATCAGAGTTACTTCATTGGATTGCACTGCAAATGCCATGAATCAATAAGGTAGTTCCCCTTTATCTGTGGTTTGCTTTTCATGGCTTTAGTTATCCATGGTCAACTATAGTTCAAAAGTATCACATAGAAGATTACAGAAATACACCATAAGTTTTTAATTGTTAAATGTTCTGAGTGAGAGTGAAATCTTAGTTTTTTTTTCTGCCCAGGTCAGTAATCATCTCTTTGTCCAATATACCTATGATATATATGCCACCCACCCATTACAGTTATCAGATTGACTGTCATGGTGTTACCAAAAGCTCTGTCCTTGTTCTCAATGTCAATACAATCATGAAGACAAGGTTTTGAAAAAAAAAAAAGAAAAAGAAGTTATAGTTCTTTCCTAACAAAGGAGAAAAACAGGGACTCCTGTCCCAGAGGCTATTAATCTGACCATCAAAGAGAGGAATAGAGGGCTTTTAAATAGGCAATTCAAAAGCTACATTCCAGATGTGCCTTATCAGGGGTGGTAATTCACTTGATGCCATCCCTTAAATCTAATTATTTCATTCCTGTGGTATGTGTTTGCTCAAGGACAGATAACTTAGCCTAGGATGGGAAGAAGGGTAATTTTGTTTTCCCTAAGGCTAGGGAGTGGGAGAGGGAGAAGAGAAAGTTTTCAAATAAGTGGCAGTGGCAGAGTAGCAAGGGTTATGTTCAAAGTATGAAGTAGACTCCTGCTACAATGACATCAGTATAATATTTAATTGTCCTATTACTTTTAGTTATTGTTAGTCTCTTACTGTGCCTAATTTATAAATTCAAGCTTATAGGTAGATATATATGAGGAAACATATAGTATATATAGGGTTCAGTACTATATACAGTTTCATGCATCCACTGGGGGCCTTGGAATGTATCCCTCAAAGATAAAGTGGGGATGGGGACTACTGTGCTTATAAAACACAAGAACAAGGTCTTGCACAGAAGCCCAGAACTCAGGCCTGTTAGCTTTGCAACTACATTAAGATGAAGTTTCCAGTCTTTCCTGTGGCAAGGCCCCAATTTCCCGCCTTCCTTGGGACATGTCTCTTGCTAACATCTCATACCATCTCTCCCAGAAATTAAGAATATTTATGTAGGATATTTATGCTTTGACATTTCCCCTACTCCCCACTTGCAGAGAGTCCATGGGGGCTGCCAGTGATAGCGGATGGCCCAGCTTCCTTAGCAAAGGTGGTGATGGCAGAACTGTCCAGCTTGAAGTTTGAAGAAAAAACATGGCCTGGAGGTAAGCACCCCCTGCCTGCCCACTGAAGAAAGGGTAGGATTGCAGAAGCCAGGATTCTCCAGATTGCAGGAAAGTACATTGGTGGGAGAGGCTGCATTTGTGAGGGAGGTTCTATCAGATAGGGGACACAGAGACTAGAGCTTCTGAAAGGTACCATGGGCTGGATCCTAGCCTCCAGTGGGTTGGCTCCTTGCTCAAGTAGCTTTCCTCCCTCCAGCACTCCACTTCCCATACCTGCCTCTCCCTAAGAAGACTAGGATTAGTGATGTCTGCAGAGCCCTTCCTCCATACCCTTATTCATTTCTTATAATCATTACCTCAGTGTTTATAGAGCTGTAGAGCAGATTGTTTAATTCCTCCCACTTAAGGATGAAAAAACAAGGCCTAAACCTTTAAATACTTGAGGCCACACAGCTAGAGAGTGGCAGTGCCAAATGAATCATGGGGAAATGGGATAGATGTAAAGTCTCCAGAGAGCAGTGGAGAAGGGGTTGGACACCTCCATTCCCAACACATTGAGGGAAAAGGGAGACTGTGCTTAATGGGAATGGAACTTCCACTTGTTAGAGAGTTTGCCACAAGGCCCAGTGACCAGGAATGGGCACTGGAGAACTGTTGACCCAGAAGAAACTGAGGCATCAATGGGCAGATGAACTAAACAGACATTTCTCAAAAGAAAAATTATAGATGGCTAACAAATACATATAAAAACAAGGTCAACATCCCTAGCAATCAGAGAAATGCAAATCAAAACTACACTGAGATTTGATCTCACCTTGGTCAAAATGGCAATTTATCAAGAATAGAAATAATAATAAATGCTGGAGAGGATGTGGAGAGAAAAAGAACTCTTTTGTTACCACTGTTGACCGGTCCTTGCTTCCCCAATGTTGAAGAATAACACCAGAGAAGCACGATGAGGCAAGGTCAGAGTAGAAATTAGAAGTTTATTAAAGGAGAGCAGAAAAGACTTCTCCCCTCCTGGAGGAAGAAGGGGACCCAAGAGGTGGAATCCTCTTGTTTCCTCTTTTTATAGTTCTTTCAGTGATGGAATGTAGGTTGGAAGGCCCGAGGGGTGGGATATAGGTGGGCCTAAGAAGTAATCTGGGCAGGAAGGATTTCATTAACACTTCTTTGGGGTGGGCTATCTTCAAATCTGCCTGGGCTGTTTATTAACATTTCTTTGGGATAGACTTTAGGCTTAGGGCTTTTCTTGGGACTTCATTAACATTATAAGAGTTGCTCAACTCTTCCGGAAATTTATTCTCAACATGGCCTCCATATTAGACCCGATTTACCTAACTACACTGACTGCCTAATTTTAAATCTGGCTTCACTTACATGATATTGATGGGATTATACATTAGTATAGCCATTATGGAAATAAGTATGGAGTTTCCTCAAAAGACTAGAATTTGGAGCCACTATATGACCTTGCTATATCATCATCCTGAATTTTATCCAGAAGACATAAAGTCAGCATAATATACCACTAAATACATGCCTATGTTTATAGCAACATAGTTGACAATAGCCAAACTATGGAACCAGCCTAGGTGTCCATCAACAAATGAAGTAAATATACACAATGGAGTTCTACTCAGCAATAAAAAAGAACAAAATTGTGTCATTTTTAGGAAAATAGATGGAACTAGAGAGCATCACCATGTTAAGTGAAATAAGCCAGACTCAGAAAGTCAGGTGTTATTTTTTCTCATAAATGGAAGCTAGAGAGAAAAAAGAAGTCTCATGAAAATAGAAGAGAGCTCAGTAGGATAAAGGAAGAGGATCAACAGGAGGGGAGTACAAGAGAAGGTCCTAGGGAATGAAATTGAAATTGAACTAATCATATGCACATATGAATATATAACAATGAATTCTCTATTATGCATAGTTATTATGCATCAATAATTTTTTTAAATTACATTGCAAGACTTCCCTTATTTACTTATTTTTAAATTTAAATTTTATGGAGATCCCAGAGCCCTGTACTTGTTAGGCAAGTGCTCAGCCACTGAATTACAATAGGGTTATATCCCAGTAAAACCATTGTAAATTGAGAATACATTGTCAAAAATGCATTTAATGCCTTAAACTACTGAACATCATAGCTTGGCAACTCAATGCATTGTAGTGTCAGTGATTTCCCTTCTGATCACATGACTGAACACAAATCGCTAGCCGATTTCAAAACTCCATATGTGATTTCTACTGAAATCGCATCCCTTTCACACCATTTTAAAGCCATTAAGTAGGTTGGGGACTGACTAGATTTGTGTACCTGCTACAATGGAACCACCATGTGTTGTTTCCTTTTTCACCAGGCCTGACCTTGGAATTATTTGCTCTTTCCTGCCTTTCCCACACCTGGGGGGAAGCACATTAGCTTCCTTATCTCCTCTTTGCTTCAGGGGTGGGAGCATCATGGTTGCGGGCTCCCCTACTCTGTATTTCTTAGGCTCTGTCTCTATGTTGGCTTGGAAGTCCTGGACTCACCACAGCTTCCGGAGCAGGTACTCTCCCAGACCATGTGTCCTCTCTCCCTGACTTCAGGGCAGCATCAGAGCTCTTGAGTTTGAACTGACCCTGAAATCCACTAGATACTGTTGCTTTAATATAATATTATGTGTATTCATTTCCTATTGCTGCCAAACCAATGATCACAACTTGGTGGCTTAGAACAACATACATTTATTCTCTTATAGTTCAGGGGTTCAGAAGTCCAAAATGGGTTTCCCCCTGGCAAGATCAAGGTGTTAGCAGAGCTGCACACCCTCTGGAGGCTGTAAGGGAGAATCCAATTCCTTGACTTCCATCTTCTAAAGTTTCATTCCTTGTTCTGTTATTGGAATTAAGGGTCCTTGCTGCTTACAGCTCCACTGAAAACTTGGGGAGACAGAAATTACAGGAAGAGAATAGGTTTATTCAAGGGCAACTTTGAAGAAGAGAGAGACATTTTTATCTCAAATCTTCATCTCCAGGTGGAAGAAAAGAGGGTATTTTGAGTCAGTGGGCAGGAAATTCACAATGCTAGGTGGGAGTCTACCTCTTCAAAGTGTACCTTTGTACCTCTGTGGCTCTGTTGACTTTCTCCCTCCTCAGAACATCAAAAGGAAATTCAACCTCCTGGGGCCACATTCTGCATTCTGTTTTCTTACAGAGTTCTTCCTTTAAGTCAATTCTTGAGTTAAGGAACTGAGGAGAGAAGAGGGTGTTACCAGAAGCCTCAGCCTCTCTTCAGAATTCAGAATACCATGTGAAAGAGATGGGTTATTAAAAGATCTAGGGAAAGGGTTTTTTTTTTGGGGGGGGGTAACAATTGTTAAACATCTTACAAAGGGAATTGCTCTGTTTCAGTCTCAGCATTCCTCTCTCCTTTAGTGCCAGCAATCTCCTATCACAAAAGCCTTAAATTAATCACACCTGTAAAACCCCTGTTACCATATAAGGTAATAATCACAGTCTCCAGGGATAACTTAGAGGGGAGTCTTTATTCAACCTACCACACTATAGAACAGGAAACACAGAATGCATGGACATCTCACTGCTTGAGAGGTCCAGAAGCAAAGCAAGGACATTTGCTTTTCCGCCTACCCAGGGGAGGCAGAGCTGCTGTAGATAGGAAACAAGGAATGGAAGATCAAACTTACAGTATGATGACTACAGTTAGTAATACTGTATTGCAAACTTGAAATTTGCTAAGAGAGTAGATCTTAAAGTAAAAACTAAAGGTAACTATGAGAAATATGAGTATGTTAATTAGCTTGATTATGATAATCAGTTCCATGATATGTGTGTGTACATACACACACACACACACACACATATATATATATATAATATATATATATATATATATATCACACTGTAATACTTATACAGTTTTTTTTTTCAATAAATCTTAGGGGGGCGGCAGTGGACAAAGCAAAAATAAAAACAATTTAACATGTGTTCATAGGATTAGGTCATCAAGGAAGAAAAAATAAAACAGGGGCTGTGAGTAACTCAGTGATAGAGCACTTGCCTAGCATGTGTGAAACCTGGGTTTAATCCCCAGCACTGCAAAAAAAAAAAAAATGAAGAAATGGGTCATGGTGACCAAAAGCCCCAGCCTTGGTTCCTACCAAGACCTATATGCCTGTTCACCAGGTGCATGATACACTAAGTCTGTTGGGTTTTTTTTTTTTTTTGGGGGGGGGGAGGCGGGGGAGGCAGTTCTAGAGGATTGAACTCAGGGACACGCAACCACTGAGCCATATCCCCAGCCCAATTTTTTGTATTTTATTTATAGACAGGGTCTTACTGAGTTGCTTATTGCCTTGCAGTTGCTGAGGCTGGCTTTGAACTCCAAATGCTCCAGCCTCAGCCTCCTGAGCCACTGGGATTATAGGTGTGCACCACCATGCCCGGCTGACACACTGATCTAACTCTGTATTTTTTATTAAAACAGCACCATGAGATAGACCCCAGTCATTTTGTTACTAGAATCAAAAGTTTTGCTGCATGCTGCTCAAAGAAAGTTAGAGAAGCAGAAGTTGATACAGGAAAACATGTTTATTCAAAGCCAGACTTGAGGAAGATAGAGATCTTTTCTGTCTCAAATCTCCAAGGAAAGGTGGGGAGGTCAGTGAGGGAACAGCATTTATTTATTTTTTGATTAATTTTATTAATTCTACTCCATTTGTGTACAATGAACTGAACTTTCTGCTGTCATGTATAACTGATCAGTGGAGTAGAATTTTTCACTTCTCTGGTTGTATGTGAAAGAGAGTCACACCATTTGTGCAATCATTGTACTTAGGGTAATAATGTTCATTTCATTCCACCATCTTTCCTACCCCCATGCCTCCTCTCCGCTCCCTCATCCAAATTTCCTCCACTCATCCATGCACCCCCACCCATTATGAATTAGCATCTACTTATCAGAGAAAACATTTGTCCCCTGGTTTTTTGAGATTGGCATATTTCACTTAGCGTAACATTCTCCAACTCCATCCATT